ATTGTATTATACTGGTGACTTTAGAAGTGTTTATTTGTAGATTTTATGATAGTGGGGGGTTCACGGTTGTTAGGGTTACTAACTACAGGTCAATGATCACTTTAGAAGAGTAGTCATATTTTTATGCTACATGATTTTTATTTTAAATACAAAGTTCTTATTGAAAATTTTATCTCTGACTATTAAATTTATCTAAATCGAATCGATTTATAAAGTATTTTTCAGTACTTATCGTAAGACATTCACATAGACATAGACATAGACATCTGCAATTGCGGATGTCTATGGGCAGCGGTCGCTTCGCCATTTCGGATTCAGGTGGCCGCTTGCTCGTTTGCCACCTTATGTTATACAAAAAAATAAAAAAAGACAAGCAATTTTCTGTTATGTTGTATGTAATTACAGATATTTATTATACCCATTGGCATACATTTAGATAAATAAAAACATGCTTAATATTAAGTTACTATAAGGCGCATGCGGGAAATTATTGTAAAATATTTATGTAAAGAATTATTTGGTAAAAGATATGTTTAAATGCATGATTATTATGGACGACAGTGCTACGATTTTTATTGTTATTTAAGCATAAAATAAACAAGGGTTGCCATAAAATTATTACGAAATTATTTGATTTTAAAATGTCTTGAAAATTTTTAGATCTTGTTAGGATTTTGCGATCAAAGAATATCGCTTTGCAGTTATAAACGTATGTTTTATGATTTAGTTGTTTTACCATAGATTAAATCTCTTGAATTAAAATAATTTAAACTAAATCATAATGGACTAAATATAAATATTTGAATTTCGTAATTTACAAATTAGTACAAGTTGTATTGGTGTGTAGATATTACCTAGTTTAGTGTACATATTAGTACTAGAATTAGTATAATTATCTTTTCGAATTTCTTCTATTTCTCTTGCATTGGCTGAAACAGAGGTAAAGAAACAAAATTTAATCTAGACCGTTTTCACCGGCATTACCATTCCCTTCGTCACATTTACTCCGACCCTCTTTTATATTAACCCCCGGTGTTGTCCCTTTCAGCCTCCGTATATCACCCGAAGGGAACATTTCAAACGGCGACGATAAGAGTAAATTAGCACATCAGCAAACGTACAGGTACCTCGCCTCTCATACGCACCTCGCCTGCATCTCGCACTCGCTTTCTGCTGCAATGACACTTGGGTCTGACGCTAACTGTACATTCATACTAACAAAAACAAATGTTAAATATCACTGGTTATTTGTATATTTTATTATCTAGCTAACATTTTTGCTATTACCTAATTTGAATGGCTCTAATTCATCTAAGTGTCATTTCGAGCTTTTTTTTAACAGCCAAATTGCAAACATTCATTAGTTCGTAGATTAAATCGCTAATTAAGAAATTACGCGCTATTTGCTTGCAACATGAATGTTTTCAATCTGACTGTTCTAATACCAGTAATAACAAACTCTTACAATTGTACTTTCGCGTTTCCAGACAATACAAAGAAGCCCTAAGACAGCAACGCCAGCAAGACATCTACCGGCCCCGCACAGAGCAACCCTCCCCCGAACTGGACTCCTCCCCGCACTCGCAGAGCCAGAGTCCCGTCCACTTCCAGCGATCCTCCGCCCCGCATTCCCCTGTCAACGGCTACAGTAACGTATCCCCTAACCTGTACAACCGCTCTTTATCCTCCAACTCCACAACATCCTCAACACCAAACACTTCACAAGTACCAAACTCCCCATTACTCCACTCGACTCCGCGGAGATACCAAAATCAGAACGGAAACAGCGAAAAAACAGAAGAAACCAACAAGAGACCAGTACAAAAAGTAGTCCCGTCTAGAAATGTTAACAAAATGTACACATCTGTGAATGGGAACGTGGACTACGCACGCGTCAACGGACAGACAGACACTTATATAAAACCAACATCACCGACAAAATCGCCCACGAATACTTTAGGATATAATAGTATAGGCACAAAATCTAATATACCGAGGCAGACTGGTGGGGGGGAGGGGGCCAGACTGCTCACGACGACTGTATCGTACTTGAAAGGTGCGGCGCCCAAGCCGGCCTCTAAGATGGCCTGGAATAAGGACGCGCCGCTCGACAAGCTCAGCTTCACCATGAAGAGGGAGTTTGACAAGCAGAAGGAGGAGAGCGAACTTCTCGACCAGCTGAGGACGGTAAATATAATGTCTTTCAAATTTCACAGCAAACTTCTAAAGTGACTACCAGCATTTCTTCAAGTTTGTGCATGCTGTAGGCCAAATTTCAATCCCTTTTCCCTTTTCCCCGTTTTATATTATAAATAATAGATGAAAAATTGCATTTTCCAGAAGTAAAATCATCTATTAAAACGTCTTGTCCACTATTAAGGGTAGACAACGCATAAGCAATTACAGATGACTTTTAGATGGCCTGTAAGTCGATTACTACTTTGTTTCGTAATTGTTGTTTAAATTAATAATACTTCTATGTGTAGATAATAGAGTCCCGTCTGAAGATGTCTCTGCCGGAGCAGCTGCCGGCGGTGCTGGCGGACGGCGTGGTGCTGTGCCACCTCGCCAACCACGTGCGGCCGCGCGCCGTCGCCTCCGTGCACGTGCCCTCCCCTGCACAGGTACGCCCCTACCCTGCCACACGGCACACCCCTGCAGAAAAGTTACTGCCACGCCCTCTGACACGCCCCTGCAAAAAAAACAGACAAAAAAGCTATTGTCACTCCCACTGCCATGCCCACTGCAAAAAAGGGTTTTAGAGACTAATTTTAAATGCCTTGCAATTAAATAAACTAAGATTTGTGTTCCTTTGTCACTTAATAATAAATGTCGTAATGTTTAGTATAAATTATTGTATATGACTAGCTGTTTCTCGTAAGTTGGTACGCTTGTTACCAACTTGTACTGTGTTGTTGTACTTGTACTCATAAACATTTTTAAAATCGGCCAAGTATTATATGAGTTATTTCAATACAAAAAAAAAAACAAAAAAACCCTAATTGTGATATTAGTATAGAAATAGACTGATGCTTGCTGATAAATCCAACTACTATTTGTGTAATTAAAATCTATTTTAAAAGTTAATGTTTGTTTTGTTCCAGCCTAAACTAACAATGGCGCGGTGTAGAAGGAACGTCGACAATTTCTTGGAGGCGTGTCGGAAGATTGGAGTTGAAGAGGTGATTATATTTTGCTTTTGATGTTTACTATATGAATTTTAATATTATCTGTAATTTCCCACATAACATTATGTTTAATCGGTGTTCATTAAAATTACTCGGTATCCAATCTATATAATAAAATTGGAGTGTCTGTTTGTATTATCGAAAAAAAAAATCCAGATTTCGGGAAGATAATGTATTTGCGTTGCTGATAACGAAAATCGCGTTTGTAAAGTTTTTGTTTGTCTGCCTGTCCACAAATTGGGTTTGTTTCGGGTAATCTCCGAAACAGTTGAGTCAATTTCCACCGCACTTTCATAAGGGTAACTGACATAGACAGGCATGTTATGGGCTACTTTTTTTTTCATTCATCGCTGTCAAAATGGCGCTCGGAGCGCTATCTCTGGAAAGGGTGAACCAATTTGGACGGGACTTTGAAAGATAGCTGGTAGAAGGTAGATTCACGCGGGAATGTTATGGATGATTTTTTTTATATATCCACGCTAACGAAGTTTGCGGGCGACAGCTCGTTGCAAATAAAGTTCCGTGTAAAAGTGCATTACCGTTCGCGTGTCCGTAATTTGCAGGGTCTGTTTGTTATCTGTTGCACAGCACATTGTATGAACTAAGAGTGGGGTGGCGTGTGTTGCAGGAGCTCATCTGTTCGCCCGCAGACATATTGGGGGTGGGCAGTGCGGGGCTGGGGGTGCAGGGGGCGCGGGGGGTCAGTGTGCGCCCGCTCGCCTGCACCGTCGCCGCCCTCACACACGCCACACCGCACTCCGCAACTGATATACAAACCGACCCCCAAAACGCTAACGATATCGAAGATACAGACCCCCAAACACCAGATACTATCGAAGTCCACCAAAGGAACAGATATGAAGAAGATAGATGCATAAGTAATTTTAACTTTATAGACTACGCGAATAATACAATAGATGAATCGGAAGAATTCCATTTGAATTACGAAAATAATAATGAAAATAACCATAATGACGGATACTCGCCCGTTTACGACGGTGTAAGGAATAGAGGACCTTATTACGTAAATAATAGGATACAATTTGTGACACCGTTTTGCAAAGGCAGTGGAGTACTCCAGAGTGAAAACTTGGAAATTTACGACACGGATGAAGTTGATTTTCCAGTGGAAATTATCGAAAATCAAGAAGGAAGGTATGATAGAGATAAATTAAATCTAGATTTGCAGAATAATATAAACAGCGAAATGATGCCGTACGTAGAAACGGAGAAGGAAAGAGAACATAGGATATTGGTCACTTGGTTATGTCTCGGTACATTCTTCGTGTCAGCCATTCTACTTATAATATTTCCATTGTAATTTTTGTAACGAAATTAAGCTCCCACACTACTTGTATTCAGTAAAGTTGTACTATCAAGGAATTTGACGGTGTACGAATTTCGAAACAATGACCAAAAGAACGCAGCTTTTAAATTTGTACGAAAGAAACAGTGGTACAGCTAAGTGTTTGTTTTTTATTATTCCGTCACTTGCACAGCTCACAGCTGTCTAATTGATTTTTTTTTTTGTAAGAGACGGAGTTTGTCTTGTTGAGAGGAACAAGGCAAATTTTCTGATTTGGTAGCACTGCAAAGTGCCCTGATTGTACTTTATTACAAAATTTTCAATATCTCGATTTTTTTTTATTAAGTTGTGTTGTTTATTAAGTGTGGGAGCTTATTTATTGCATTTGACTTAATAAAGTGTTGCCTTACTCCAGTGAACTGTGATTACGGTCTGAAATGTAATTTTGAGGCCGATGTTAGTGTTTTACGAATTGAATTTTTTTGGATGGAGACTGAGTTGAGGAATTTGATTTTAAACGGGAAGGGTAGACAACTAATCAATTTAATTTAGTTATATGGGTTATATTTTCTTTTATTAATTTGGGTTGTTATTAATATTGGTATAGATTTTTAAGCTATGTGGTAACTTAAAAATGATTTTGATTGGCTATGAAATGCGTTGTATGAAAAGATTTGTTTTTTCTTGTCCAAGGATCTCAGGATTGTTTTGTTTTTTGGGAATTTTCTTTTATAAGTTTATTGTTTATGTAAATGTATATTAAGATTTGTAAATTATTTAAATGATGTAATTTTTTGAGTAGTACCTTTTGCAATGTTTACTTCCAATGTAGAATGCTTTGCTTTTAATATTTATTCACTGCCCGGATCTTTTGATCCTAACCTAAGACTGTAGGGTTTCCCTTTTTTATAATAATTGAAAAAGTTACTAAGAAAAAAAATGTTGGGTAGTTTAAAAATACACGCACATTACCTCACAAGGCCATAGGAAAATTCAAGATTTTGGACTTTAAAATCAATGTTTGTATCATCGGTTTTTAATCATTATTATTATTAATAATAATAACAATTATTATATTATTAATAATAATGATTTTCCTATAGTAATCTTTTCCATGGCCCTTTTATTAACTGAGTACAACTTTCTGAACTTTGGTGCGAAATGTTCAAGATATAACTTATATAATATTGGGATATGTAGCTTAGCGATTGTAGTTCTGTTTTCTTATATAATAAGAATATGCCTTAAATCATATCGTTATTGTATTAATAATGCAAAACAAATTACAACATTACAAATAAACGCAGTATAAAGTTAAACTTAGGAATAAACTAAGTATCAAATATTAGTACTAATATTTCCTTATACTCAATTTATTCCTAAGTTTTTATACATCGTTTATTTGTAAGGTTGTTAGTGTTTTATGTGGACTGTATTGCAACCAAAGATGACTAAAAGAAACTACATTTGAAATAAAGATTATATAATTCTTTCAAAAATAAATGATGATAGGCAGAAAAGTGTCCACCACGAAAATAATTTTCACATAAATTAATGAAATTAATATTAATATTTACTACTTTTGATTAAAAATAGTAGTTTTTTACAATTCATTAAATACAAAGTAAGGAATTTTGAAACTTGTATATTTGGTTGTAATCAGTCCTTTTCCTTAGTAATGTAGTTTAGACTGTATTTTGAGGCTTTTCTGTGTAGCTATTTGACAGATTATAATAAAAGACAAAATATTTAATGTATGTATATAATTATACATATATATCGAAGCTGATTAACGAACGATGCCAATACTATGTATTGAACGACGTGCAACCCGGTCACAATAACATGACATCCGCAGCAGCGCTCCTCTTAATTCGTGTTCGAATGTCCAGTATTTTTATTACTTATGAACGTGTGACGTCATTACACTCAAATGTCATGTTATTGGACAATGGCACGTGTATTTTAAATGCATTTATAATAGTGATGTAACTTAGCGAAGCAATTGAGTGGAATAGCTTACATTCTTGCCATAGTTAAGAATTAAAAAGCTACATTAACTTGTTATAAATAAAAGCAATATGGAATTGATTAGACGCCAAAAAGCAGTTACTTTTTTTGTATCTATTCGCTGAGTTGAATCACTTATTGAATATTTTAATAAGCATTCCAAAGAAATTTAATATTATAAAGACATTATTCTTTAATATGTTTACTGTGTTTTTTGCACTTAATTGTATGTTATTATACTATACTAACTAATATACTAACAGTTTTGAAATGTACTTAACACGACAACTTAATGCTACTTACTGTTTTATTATTCCGTAGTTTACCTAATTGGTTATTTGTAAGAGGCGGAGTTTGTTTCTTTGCAAAGAATAAGGTTATTTTTCATATGTGGAACACCGCGGATTTCCACGATTGTACCTAAAGAAAATTCTTATGTTTGGTTTAAATCTACTGGTTAAGAAATATTAAAATCTAAATAATTGTAAAGTAAAAATATATTTAAATATCTCTACTCCAGTGCATAGTCCTTGACATCTTTCCCCTGTCACTTGCAATACAAAAACATCATCATTCCGTTATTACTCTCTTGTTATTTAAAACAACTGAAAAAAACTAGCGTAGACTTGCATTGTATTTAATTACTATTGTTAATTTTAATTATAGTATTTTTCAAGAATCTTTAGGCTCAAGGTCACGCGCACTATATCCTTGATTTCTTCCTAGTGACAACGTACGTGTCTAAAGCCTCCAATATTTGAATATCTCTATAGTAGTTTTCGAATTCAACTAATTCTTGAAGTTGTCGTGTGATTTTGATACCCAGTTTGCTTTATTATTTTGAGCTTTAAATTTCCAGTACAACGCTATTATTAAGAAATATTTAATATATTTATGCTTATACAGATTATATTCAATAGCTTGTGGTGCTTGGGTACTGTAGTTTAATGTCTGGTTTTAATGCACTATTTATTTTTTTTATTTTATTTTTTAAACACTGATAAAAAATCTTATTAACCGCACTAATGAAATCACTTTGTTTCAAATACGCTATAAATAATTTATTCGATGCACAAATTAGTATTGGAGATATAAATATGTGAGTTATAAGTGTTATTGAATTGTCTTTAGTGAATATCGTAAATAGAAGTAATCTATACTATTAAATAAAAAATAAAGTAACTATTATAGGCTTCCAAAAGTACTTAATATAAAAAAAAACTTTTTCTAATGTAATTGATGATTTTTCCTAATTTAATATTAATATGACCAGGAAAATAGAAATCCTTCCCAATTTCCTAATCACCAATTCCACATTCAACAACATTCCAAAAGTCATCATCAACTTGCCCTTGTCCCTTATGGAGGGTCGGCACAGTACGTGCTTCTCTTCCATACTCTATCAGCCGTCATATCTGAAACCGCTCCTTTAAGCATATCCTCTTTCACACAATCCATCCATACTTTCTTCAGTCTTCCTTTTCCTTTGTAGCCATCCACATTCATTCTTAACACTTTCTGGTATATGTCCCATCGTCTCGTCGCATAACATGTCCATATCACAATTATAAGTACGGCAAATAATTATTTTGATACAATAATGAATTTTATATTCCTGGTCAAGCTATAAAATTGAACATCAAATATAAAAGACAATAAATATATGCCGTTAGATATTATATTTTTATTTCATGATTCTCTTGCCAATTGCCAAAATACAAATAGTGCATTAAAATCTGACCTTTTTATTTGAATTAACTATACTAAAAATATATTGTAACGAAAAAGATTTTGGTTCAGTATTATGAGATTCGAATTTAATATAGCATTTTACTAGTACTGTGTGTACTGTCTGCATTTTTATGTTTCTGATTGTACGTTTTTTTGTAAGTTTTACGATTGTACTTTTTGTATGTACTTACAATTTCTCTCTAAATAAATTTCTTATTGGCATTATCTGTGTTTTATTTAATCACTAAAAATAACCTCAAAAGTATTTATCACTAACTCGAAACATCAGTTTGTTTGTAATCTTTTTATTCCTGAAGTTCGTTTTTTTTTTATTTACTAAGATATAAGTTTATGTTAATGTTTTCTTGATGCAACACAAAATTCGTAAGTAGTTATTAAGAGCGGGCACACCTTTGACTAAACTATCGCAAAACAGTTGTACGATTGTCGATTGTTTCGCAGCCAATTCGACCGTTTAGTTGCACAACTAAAAATCGAGCAGTGTGCACACCTATAAGTTCATATGAATCAAAGCTGACTAGACAGTTTTGTGATAGTTTAGTCTAAGGTTTGCAAGAGTGCTTATTATTTGTAGGTTCCTAAAGTAAAAAATAATTGTCGAAAACGCTTTTATATAAGTTACTGTGATGTTAGAATTTACAAAGGAACTATTTATAAGAATTGCGTCATTTACTTCGTTTTTTTTTAAAATAAATTGGAAACTAGTGTTAAGAAGAAAATTAGTACCGCGGTGTAGAATTGGCGCAACACTAGATTATTGGCATGTCACATCTCTGACAGCTGTCAATGTCATTAGAAGGATTGATTATGGCCCG